CTGCTCCAGTTGAATCAGCAGCTAGAACCAGGCTTTCAGACTGGCCCCAACGGTGATGGCCCGTGTTTTGTGGCCAGCAGTCAAGGCTCGCAACAAGCCAAGCTCCAAGAGCCTGAAGGTAGAATGGAACAGCTTGAACTAGGCGAAAACTTAAGATTGCTGTTCGCACTGGAGTTGGTCAAAATGCAAGCAAGTTCATTCATACTCCCAAAAACAAGCAATCCAGGGTTGAAGGCATTTGGCTGAACCAATTTTTGGTGATCCCGTGATGGATACAAGTTGGATTGGCACCGGAAAAACCATCCCTGGAAATTTCATTTTCCCTTCCGATCCTCAGCAGGCTTTGTCCTTGGACGTTACTGGCACCTTGCTCGTGCATAGGTGGGAAATGGCGACCCTGGAGTTGAATCGCTGAAGTCTTTGCAGGTTTGATATTGGTTGAACATCTCTTTTGCTAGTGGACCGAATTCAGCAAAGAAGACGGGCACCGATTGAATTCGGCGAGAGAATTCTGCACGAGCTCATTGAGCGACGGTGCAGCCTTATTCACCCACAAGGTCCACGCTGTGCAGCGACAAATCGAGCGATATAGTCACTGGTGTAGCGAGTTCTGGTGTTTGTAGGTCATCTGACAGCAAGGTTTGACCTCATAACTATCCTGTGTTGACATATTCCACCTAAACATATCCTTCATGGTGGACCAGAGTTCTGCCATTCTTGGAATAAACCATGAGCACTAACCATTGAAAGAAACAAGACATGCAGATGTGCGAGAGTGATCGGCTATGAAAGAGACTCATGGGAATTGATCAAAACGCGTTTTTTCAATGGAATCAGGAAACTTTCCATAAGTTGGGAAGAACACGGGCTCTTTGTAAAGACCCTCATGAGCAAAAAGGCACACCCACAGATACCAGCCCCCTTTTGCAATTGAGAGCTACCTAGCTACGAGCGAGAAACCGTGGTAAGTTTGGGCCATGCTAGGACATGCCCAGCTAAAGAGCAGCTAAACATGGACATGTATATAGACATTCAATTTCCCGCTGGCTTGGTTGGCTCGCCTTGGGACATCCGATTGGCTTCCTTTAAAGCTAACGTCTCTCAAGAGACGTCTTGAGCCCTTTCTCAAAAACCGAAAAAAAGAAAGACACCTAAAAGCAAAGCAACACTTTTCATGTGCTCACTCCTTTCCAGTTTCACTTTCTGTTTGCTTTTGTTCGTATTGGTTCCGTTCTGTTCCGTTCCCTGCGCCAGGCATCCCATCCACGAGACCTACGCGGCCTGTGCCCTGTGGGCGAAGCTGGAGAATCCGCCCAGCGCAGAGGCCGGGCGGACCGGGGCGGAACCTGAGCGGAGCCGGGTGATCGACACCTGTTCGACCGCCTGTTACAGGGAATTTGATAGATCCTCACCGGGTGGAGGATCTCTGATGTACATAGGACTCATCGGACTCATTGGTCTTAATTGTAATGTCTTTCAACTGCAGCTTCAGGGTTCGAGAATTGATGCTGGCTTCCGGTTATGGTTCACCGTTTTCACCGAGCCGGAGGTCGGGCTGTCCTCACCACCTCGTGTCAAGGAATCTGTCAAGAAACAAATGGTGAAGAAACAGTGGCGGACCGAAAACACCGGCACGTGATCCTCAGTGAAGAGCCGTTGAAGATCGGACTCCGGACATCGCCCATCTTTCAGGAGCTGAAACCTGCCTTCAAAGAGGCCTTCCGAGAGACCTCCAAGAGCTGCATGGCCGATGAGGGCAGGTCTAGAAGAGACGGTTTGGGAACGGTTTGGGGACGGTTTTGGAGAAAGGACAGATGAGATGACATTTTGGGTGTTTCGCGTGCAAAGATGTCTAAAGTCTAGTACCGGTGTGCATCACGAGATGTGAGCGAGATGTGTGTTTTTGCAGATTCGAATGTCTTTTTGTGGGTGAGAATGGACTCTATGGATGTACAACAGCCCTTTTGTGCAGCCCACCATTTCATGTTTGAGCTGCTGGGACCACCGTCGCGATGGTCGTTCTTAAGCTCAGCTCAAACTGAGCTGCTAGTCTTGCTCGCGCGTTGGATCGAACCAAGGTGGATGCGCGACCGGTTTTTTAGCGACCGGTCGAGGCGAAGGACATGGTTGCTCCGGCCCAGGCTATCCTTGCTTTGGACATGAGGACAACCTTTCCTCGCGAAGCTGGTGGGTATCTTCGACTGCAAGGGCGAAAGGTTGTCACCTGTTCAAAGGATTGGCTTCCTTGAAGGGTTGAAAAGGCTCAAAAGATGAGGCTGGGTGAAAGTAAAGGATTTGAAGGACCTGCAGCTCAACCCTTTCAGCCATGGGTGGCAGAAGTTATGTAAGTTTCCCCAAAAAAAAAGGAACCAAATGAATAGCATGAGCTATCCCGCGTCCTAGCTATGAGCGAACTAGTCCTTACTTAATTCAGTAGGCGCCTACTAATATTAAGTAAGGAGGCAGGGCCACGAGCTCAAAAAGAAAGACATTGCTCCAAAGAAAGACGTTTACCATGATTGGCAGATCTTTCGCTCCCCCTCCACTATTCCACCTGCGCTCCACTCCGCTCCACCACAACACCGCGTGGCTCACCAAGAGGCCCTGGTGGTGAAGGCGGCGTTGCGGCACTGCGGCCGCAACTACGCGGACCAAGACTTCGATCGCTTCTTCCGCCGCGTCTACCAGCATTACGGCCGCCCGGCGCACTGGCAGGTCTGGCGCCGTATCCTGTTGCGTGCTTGGCGTGTCAAAGCTTCGGCGTCAGAGTCTTTGGACAAAGTCTGCCAGTGTAACTTAGAAGCTCTATGCTTGGGTTCTTTGAAAGCTTCGGCTGATGGACTGTCAGAACATTTCTCAATTCAAGGAGCAGTGCCACAGGGAGGCATGTCTTTGGCATCCAAGGCACACTGGATGCTTACGAAGAATTAAGCGATGCCAAGCCATTCTTGGACTGGGCACGACAACAGGGCCTGGCCATAGGAGCAGCTTGACCGTGGAAGTGGAGTGAAAGGATGAGGTTTGACTCATTATGGCGAGCGTCGAGTCGAGTCAACATACAGGGCTGACCCATCAGGACACCCCTCAAAGCCGGTGGGACAATTGATCTTGGGCTGGTCTTGTTAGTTGCTCCATGATCGTTTGTTGGAGCTACGAGATAGATAGGTGTCGATTCCCCACCACCTGAGAGAGGCTCAAAGGCAAAGCAGGCCTATCGCCTCCTTATCCACCGGACCTTCAGGTGACCACCAATAGCGACACCAGAACTCTTGATGATGTGCTGCCCATGCTTGGCTTCCACGACCATTTAAGGCCACTTCTGCTGTTAGCAGCATTTCCAGACGATCCCCCGCACTTGACGAAATGACGTTTCCGTACAAGAACGGTCTTTTGTTTTTTGTGCTTTGACTTCATGGGCAAGTTCACAGCTCCATCCGCATGATCCACAGGTGGTTCGTCTGCGGGCGAGAAGTGGGCAGTGAAAAGCCGGAGCCGTGGATCTTTGTCGAGACCTACCGGCAGGTGCCCGGGAGACCTTGGGGGGGGCCAGGAGGTGACGGTTTCTGAAAGGGTGGGTTGATGTAGCATCCAAGCTGAGCTGGAACTGGTTGTACCTGTATAAGTTGATGTGTTGTTAGCAAGTAGAAGTAGGAAGAGTACATGTTGCCAGAAAGGGCTGTGTGGAAAAAGTCTTTTGGTCGAGCAGTGCCAAGCACAGCCAAGCAAATCCAAACTCTCTCACCTGCAATGAGGGCAACAGGGATTGAACGGATTGAAGCTTGTTTTCTCATGGTTCAACCAAGGACAAAGGCTGGAACCACGATGTGACGATCTGTGTGATAGGAAGCTATATCCCTTGTTTCCGTAACTTCACTTCTGAAGCTAAAGCTGGTAATTTGATGCAATAAATCTAATAGCTTCTTGTTACTACTAGTAAGGCACCTGTTACTACTAGCGTGGCACTTGTTTCTACTAGCTTTTTGTTACTACCAGTAAGGCACCTGTTGCTAGTAGCGATGCACTTGTTTCTACTAGCGTGGCACTTGTTAGTAGTTTGGGTGTTTCCTGAGCAACAGATTGTGATCTTGTGCTGTGGAGGCGAACTTCTGGGTGGATGGAATTAAGCGAGAGGAGTGCTCCGACCAGAGCGGCCCGGTACCGACCGGTTGAACCAACGAAAACAGGCGAAAGATAGCCTACGGACTTTCCCTGCTCACATCACTAATGGTCAGACTGAAGGTTTGGGCTCTCTGTCTTTGCAAGCTGCTGTTTCCGCTGTTACTTCACTTGGTTCATCCTATGAAGCGACCAACTGAAACGAGGCATCATCCTCACCAAGACAGCTGGCAGCATGGAAAGGATGAATCGTTTCTCACACCCTCACACACCATTTGGTCCTTTGAGTTGGACCAAACAGTTTGAGAGGGGGGGGAGACACGTCTGACCTTCAGTAGGAGTGGGTGTCTGACCTTCCAACACTTCACTTTTCCAGGAGATTCTCCACATTGGCGATAGCCTGGCGGCAGACTTCTGCGGAGCACGGGCGGCCGGGCTCCAGGTGCCTCCGGGCTCCGGTCACGACGGTCTCGCTGGGAGGAGCTGGAGAGGTGTGGCAGAGGGTACCGACACTTTGCAGGGGAAGTGAACCGATAGAAAGGCTGTACTTTCCTTCTCTAACACTTGTTGTTGAGGTGTTGTTGGACAGTCTTCTGGTTGTGGTGGAGGAGGTGGTGGTAGTAGCAGCAGCAGGAAGGAGTTGCAGTTCAAAATGCCTTTCCTTGCTTTGGCAAACGTCTTCATCGACCTCATCTTCGTGACAAAGCCGGGAGCCCAGAAGTGGAAGGATGACTAGTTCTTCGCACGAGCTAAACGGTGGCATGTCCCAATGTTGCTAAACGTTTGGGCCTCGGTCCTCGCCGCCACCATTTGGTCCATCAGTTTGATAGGTTGGCCCTGTTTGATTCGCACCGTCTACCAGTGCTGATCGCTCCTTCCTAGCAATGCGCGGCTTGATTGTGGACTTGGAGCGCAATGAGGAGGAGGTTGGCTTGAATGAGGGTCAGCACATTGGCATTGATGCTTGTCTGCGGTTGACCATGTCTCCAGGTGCTTGAATAATGGATTTGAGGATACGTTGGTTTCAACATGTTTTTAACAAGTCGGCTGTGTAGCAGCAAACATGTGTAGCGGCTAGCGGCTAGCGTTTGTTCCGATGGGAAGCCCAAGGATACAGCTTCATCACGTAAGTGGCAGATTCGCTTGGGACTAGCTGCCACTGCAGCAGGCTTGGCTTGCTTCTTTTGCCTCCAGATCATGGACCAGCACGGCTCCAAAGTCCAAGAACGCGAGTTTCCCGTGAGTTTCGTGGAAGTGGAGGAGAGCATCAATGCTACGGATGCCAAGGACTTTGAGACTTTTGCCTGCAGAAAGGTGGACGCGATTTCAGGGGACTATTTGAGTGTGAACTACTACATGAGTCTATGTGGAACCTTTCATTGCTCTGGCTGCAGAAAGAACAGCGCCATCGAAATGCTGGAGTTTCACGTGTGGGCCACAACTGGATTCTTTGGCTTGCCACCTGGACCCGCCAAGGTTCATGAAGTTTGCTTGGTCATGGGGTACAAGCATGCTGCTTTCAGCATCCAGCGCAACTTTTCTGCGCCAATTACGGACTATGCCTATGGAGGCATCTATGAGAAGAACAAAGAAAGTCCTGTCCAATTGGCAAGTAGCTTGACTTTCAGGTCTGATATTAACGAAGAAAAATCCTATCATGGCGTTTACCATCCTCATCAACGTCAGTTTCTTGAGGTTGACGTCCGCAAGAAGCTATAAACGTGCGTGCAAACAATTGTGGTAGCCGAGTTTGGCTTTACCGCACTCATGAGAATCTGCCGTGGGTTTCATACCTGTCTAGCTTCTCATCTCATCGGAACCAATTCTTCTTTCTCTACCCTGAGCTGGGGTTAGTGAAGCGAGCAGTCCATGCAGTGTGACAAATGCCACGCTGTCTCTCTGGATGCCCGATGTGTGGGTTTGTCTCGCTTACCTGCACAGGTCTGATGGAAGCGCTCGTCGCTCCGAAGTTGCTACCCTTCAAAATCCTTCGAAAATTCGAAGATGTGATACATTCACACGACTTGCACCCGACTTGACCGTGTGAAGAATGGGTACAATACTGAGCACAGACTAGCGCAGGCATCAGAACGGATCTAGAAAAAGGACACTTGACTCACTTGACATGTCAATTGCTTGTACAGAGGAGCTTCGCAGCTTGGGATGCATCTCTTTTTTGTCCAAGACTTGTACATTGGCCCGGATCGAGTCCTGTTCATCTGCACAGTGTCGCTCCGCAAGCTCCAAGGTCAAGATGTCATCATTGTCTACACGAAGGACATTGCAGAGCATGCAGGTATATAGAGCACGCTGTTCGTCTCTCTAGTCTTAGTTCATTACCACAAGAACTCTTCACTCTCTTTCGGTTCCACCAAGCCAATCAGAAACTTTGGACACTGCTTGGGGCCTCCTAAAAAGGCAGTCACTTTCACGCACGACTGCCCAGTCCAACGAGGCAGTGTTGCTGGATCGAAGCGACAACCAGAAGGTCACGCAATACCAGGATCTCTATCGTTGACGCGTCACGCGACGGGCCGGGGAAAGATACGGGCAACATGAATAGGACGCTACTAGGAACAAAGGGCATCGCTACTAGGAGCAAGAAGCTACTAGTAGGGGCTCCTGGCCTTGTAGTAACAGGAAGCTTGCCCATTTAGAGCAAAGGTGAACGGGTTGAAGCCGGAGAATTGGCTGGGCGATCACGTGCCCCAACGAGGCCCCAACGCCACAAACGAGTCCGGCCAAACGAAAGACGACCAAACAGTCCGAACAACCAAACGGTTCCAAGTTCCAGCCACAATCAGTTTTGTTTTTCAAAGCCAAATGATTCTGCGAGGTGTTTCGGTCCTTGTCTCTGGTTCAGGACTGGCTGGAACATCCCGAGATCAGCCAGGAGGATGTCAAAGCATGGACCCTTCGAGACCTAGGCAGGGTTTTCGACAACACTTCTTCCGCAAAGAACTGCAGGAGGATCACGAGATGAGTCACCCATGAAATAATTGTAATGATTGTAATGACTTCCGAAGGAGAGCTGTTGCCTAAATTAGCCAGATTGATTCCTGCATAACTGATAGGATACCCTGTCCTTTCCGGCATTTGGACTGGGTGAGGTTTTGACTCTGACCGGATTGTGTTATATATTTATATAATACATAATATATACTATATATAATATACATGTTAAAGTTAATATCTGTCTTGTTTTCGAGTGTGTCGCATCGGATGTTGTTGTTGGGAAGAAGGACGGGTGTTTGTACGTCCTCACTCCTGGTTGAACCTGTGTCGCTGTGTCAAGCTGGGAATTCCGTTGGTTCTACAAACGGTTCAGTCTTTTTTGTTCCCCAACAGCGAAGGTTAGGGGTCTTGAGTCATCAGCCATAGTAAAGACTTCGGAACAGACCGGAGCAGGTCCCGGAGCAGGTTCCGGAGCAGGTTCCGGAGCAAGTTGCGGAGCAGCTTGTGGAGCAAATTCCGGAGCAGGTTCCGGAGCAGGTTCGGGAGCAAGTTCCGGAGAAGGTTGCGGAGCAGGTTTCAGGAGCAGGTTCTGGAGCCTGAGCAAGTTCCCAGCAGTTCCAGAGCAGGTTCTGCTGGAGCAGGAGCAAGTTCTGGAGCAGGTCCTGGAGCAAGTTCCAGATAGCAGTGAAAAGGCCCGCACTTTTGAAGACAGCGCTGTCTGGCAAACTGCACAGCACTTGTCGGGGAGCAGACAATGGTGCCATTGCCTACTAGGCGGATTCATGCCCAGCCCAGCTGTTAGGGAGCTCTCTTGGGCTTATTTCTTTAGTCCGTTGGATGTCGCCGCTGGGAGGTGAAGTCAAAGATCTTTTGCAGCGCAGCATAATCCAGCAGCTGCAGTGACAGAGGAAGCTCGAAGGGCCCAAGAGTGGAGAACTCACACGCACAACCATGTTTTGTTCTCAAGAACGCCCAAGTTTAGAAGCTCAGCATCACCACATAACCTCAGTTTACCTTAGTGTACATCATTCTGTAGAGGTATGTGCGCATCCACAAGCATATTCTCAGTTCAATCACATCACAATCTGCTGGCACATCTTTCTGAGTTCCTAGCCTCCCCAAGGCCTGAGGCATCCTGAGGCCCAAAGAAGGCCTCCATTTCGAAGAACCCGTCCATGAGGCTGCTAGCCTGTTTGTGGACGTGCATTTGCATTTGTTGGTTTCCAGAGCACAGCACAATTTCCGCTTCCTTAGAGGTGACTCATCCAGTTCCCAGGATGCGAATGGTTCAAAACCTGCAAGGCCACAGTCTCAGATATTGTATATATATATATATATACACAGGCATTTCAGTGCTTTAAAACGTAGCCCTCAAGAGAGAGGCTGAAAAATCTGTAGACACACACACGATCGCTGCTTGGGAAGCGATGCCAGCTGGGTTGCCCTGGAGCCAAGTCTTGTTTGGTGAAACCCGCTGAGCCCATGTCGAAAAGGGCGGCTGCTGGCCATCAACCTTATGAGCCCTGTGAAGATGGATCAGTGGTGGGCTATCTGGCCTGGAAAGGATACTGTACATAGATGAGGTAGAGGCAATGGACTGCCACGTGATGCAAACTATCCAAAAATTATAAGGTCTGTCAATTTGGTACACCAGCATAACTGAGGGGGGTTTGAGGTTGACACTTGCATAGACCTATGCTGTGCTGCTTGCTTGGTGGTTCAACCAGAATTGGACGGATTCTGTTGCTCCAACGCAAAGCACCTTTGGCCAGCTTGCAAACAATAGTCCTCTACTGGGCCCGTATACGAGGTGATCAGGGAGCCCTTAATCCAACGCCGTTATTGATTTAATGTTTCGGAGAAAAGATCATTTTACTTTTTGGTTCCTTCCTTGTTTGCTTTCTTCGTGTGAGCTTTCACCATCAATCCACTCCATACATTTTGGATTTAGCAGCTGACTGCGGGCTGGCTGTGACTGGGGAAGCAGATTGTTTGCAGAGTCACAGCAAAGCTGCTAATATGGAGCCTCCCTACTTTCCTTGACATATCTTCCTGCAGCTGAAGAACATTTGTTTTGCATCACATATTTACAGTACTGTTTTAAGTTTCATGCAATCGTAACTTCTTCTGTCTGATCTGTAATCATACCATTCTTGACACACATATGTACAAGCGGTTTAATCCAATAGTCCTTTTCCTTCCCGTCTGTCCGTGCCTTGGATTTGTTGGACCTCGACAGCAAGACCTCAGACTCTCCCTCCGCTCCCGTGTTAATCAGTTAATCCTTCTGTCCACACCATCTGAGGTATGAAGTGAATCTCACCTGGACGGCTCCCAGCTACAACGGCGGCGCAGCCATCGTCCTTCGGCGTCAGGAAAGGGACGTCACGACTCGACCGTCGTGACGGTCGAGACCGACCGTTCAGGAGAGGAAAGGTCGTGAGACCATCCTCGCGTCGTGATCCTCGTTCATCCCCCCTCCGGGGTTCCGAAGCTGGTTCCGAAGAGGATGAAGCGTGTGGGAGGTTCCGAGAGCGGTTCACGGTGTGGCAGTGACAGGGGCAAGAGCGAGACGTGTGTCTGAGAGACTGACAAACGGATGGCAAACCTTTACAGTGTGTGGGATTTCTTCTATATACATATATTTGGCACCACCTATATGGACCTCTATAGCAGGTACCTCTCACTTTGGGAGTACCCTGTTTCCCAAATTGCCGCAGCCTAAGGTCTCTTACCTGGTGAGTGCGCTGGGACATGACCAGACCTGGACCAGCGCATCTACTGAGGCTGGGTTGGGGCGACTTCGCAGCTGATGTTCCAACTCCTACTTGGAGACAACCCCTCGAAGCAGAAAAGTTTATTTGTGGAGGTCTACTGTGTTGGCAACACCTCTGTCACTTGCTCGGCTTCGACGGCTGCTGTACACGGATAACAGAGGAAAAGGCAGTGTTCCCAAGCTATCAACTTCAATTGCTTTGACTCACCCTTGGCTCTTCGTGATTTGCTTACCTGAGACCCTACAACACGTGCAGGTGACAGCGGATGGCTTGGAAGGCTACAGCGTCTACACCTTTGAAGTGCCAAGCTCAACAGTGGGTTTGTCGAAAGCTCCTTCTTTGTGAGATGTTCTTTGTTTTCATAAAATCAAGCATAGCAGTGGAAGTTCTTCTACATTGCAGTGTTGTCAGATTCCAACTGACACATTCCCCGTTTGGTTTCACGTCCTTTTCATTCTCCATGGATTTTGGCTTGAAAGGATGTGTGACAACCAGAGATATGCTGTCAGTGTGCAGTTTTGCACCAAGTACATCCTAAATGCCTTTCTTCAGTCTCCAGTTGTCACCACACCACCAAGAACCAGGTGCAAGCCTTGAATTCTGCGGGCTACGGTGCTGCCAACACAACGGAGATTCGGACGTTGCAGGCTGCGGGATGCGCCGATTCCATCGATCGAGCTCAGCACGTGCTGGTCAGTAATGCCTACTAGTTCTTTCTTCTCCAGCACCAGAAAGGTTTGTGTCATTTTTGTAGATAGATAACATAAAGAATAGTATCCTAAGTTTGGGGTGAGAGACGGGACAGCACTGTAGTGATGATGTGCAACTTAATTCCATTCCTTCTTTTCCAACACTTTAAGTTTCTCTAAAATTCTAGAAACCAAATGAATAGTGCGAGCACTTCTTCAAGGAAGCTCCCCCTCAGGGTGGGGGAAAGCTTCCTTGAAGAAGCGTGAGCTATCCTGCATCCATGTGTAGTAGCGTCCA